GGATGTGCAGTTGACAAATCTACAGTAACTGTGTGATGCTTTATCAGTATGGAGCCAAATCTCAGAGGAATATTTCATCACCTCATTGAATCTGTGCCATGAAGAATGAAGAAGGAAATTCTGCAGGCAAAAAGGATATAGCCTAAGTAGCTGCAACTTAGTACCTAATGAAGTGGTCATTGTGTATACACTGACTTAAGATTAAGAGCTTAAGAGGGGGTAGTAATTTATAATTTATTGAAAAAAGAATAAAATTGTCATTTTAGAAAGAAATTGGCTGACAGTTTGATCAGACATGGGTCACTCTGATGACAAGCTAAAGGTTTTCCAGTGCCTTGTGAAAAGGAGAGGAAAACTAAAGGAGAAACTCATCAGTTTTCATTATATTGAGATTGGCAGCTGGGGCTTTTGATGTGACTGGTAATCTTCCCAGTGCTTGACAAGTTGCCTTGTGGCATTAAAGTACAACAAAGCAGCTGGGGCACACAAGGCACTTAGCTCATTGTGTTACGGAGATTTATTTTCTTTGTGCCCTTTTGACAGGAAGGCATTTTGAAAATGTCACAAATTGTTCCTGCATTATTAGGATTCTACATACAATCTGACGGTGCTTGCATGTACATTTTGCCGGACTAAGTCGAACGCTGTAGCATCCGAGCTGTTTGTCTGCTTGTTTGGAAAAAAGTACATTGGCTATTTAAAAATAAATGGGGGGTAAACTGAGGAAAAAGCTCCAAAGCTCCAAAGCAACAAAGCAGCTTGTTCATGCAAAAGAATTCATACTAACAGAAGAAAATACACAGTGAGCAGTGAAAGGTGTGGCCGTGGACTTTGCATTTCTATTCAGAACAATACCTCCTGCTGTGAGTCTGATGCCAATGTGCTTTATCAAATCTGGCTGGACAATAACACCCACTGTCAGAGAAACAAAGCCAGAGAGGTTATTGCAGTTTTGGACTGTGATAGAGTTGAAATGCATTAATTTAGCCAGGACAGATGTAGTGTGCAGATGCACCCTGGCCTATAACAGCAGCTTCTCTCTCTGTAGTGTTGGTTGATAAAAATCAAAAAAAGCACTCTAGTGGTACAGCAAGGAAAGTAACCAACTTAGAAGCTCTCGGTTTCAAAAGGCTGCCTGAAACGCGACTGAATATCTCAGAAATGAACTTTCATGTGGCTCACATGAGAACAGTGAGAAGCAGGTGCTGTTTGTAAAGCAAAGTCAAGACTACATCCCTGCGGATTTTCCATGGTCAAACACACATGAAGAACTCCAGTATATACAGCTGAGTATTAATAATGAATCAGCTGCGTCGTTGGCTCTGCATTAGTTGTGAAGAGGCAAACCAAGATGTACCGTACTGCTCGAAGGTGAGAAAAAACCTTATCCAGCACATGAAAAATGTGTGCGCCTGCATGTTGCATGGATAATGTGTTTGTGCGCACAAGTGTGGGAGGAGGAGCATAAATTTACTCCTTTGATAAATAATAAACCAGCATGTGTGGGAGGACTGTGTGGATGGTTCTCATTACATATCGTTTCTCTGGTGGTTCTGGCTCAGATATTCCCATGTTTGACTTTTGATGCCTTGCTCTTTTTTGGTTGATTGTGCATAGATTTTCAGTGGGAGTAATGATATTCATAGGTTCTGACACGCAGCTGTCAAAACCCAAATTATAACAACAACAAGCTCTCTCCCCAAGATTAAGGGTGACTGATCATTCAAGTGTCCACCCATACACGCACACGCTGTGTACATAAATACATGAAGTCACACTAGTGCAAACATGTGCTCTGTGAGAAATGAAGGCCTGGCCGACAGACCACATCAGTCACATCACAGGCTTTAATAAATGTTGAGCAGGCCAGCCAAGCGCTCTAGGTGGCATGACATTATTCCAACCTATAACTATCAACCAGGACTATTGTTACATGACAAGACCCAAACTGATGCTCATTAATAATCTATTTTTACCAAGTTGTGAATCAAGGCCAGTGATGCCACATTAACATGAAAGAGAACAGCATAGGACATAGAAGCACACGTCAAAGTCAATGGATATTATCAAACCTTACAATGTGATCATTCTATGTATTTACATGTAAGTGCTGAGACAAAGATGCTTCTTTTGATGCTTTGATTGTTATGATTACAAAAGGAATATTAAGTGTATATATCAAAAATGGGGATGGAAAAAGTTTAAAGTGTTCATGGAAAAGACCAAGATTCTTTCAAAAAAATTGTGTTCAGGTAATGGTTTCATACATTGCCATAAAACGGTAATTCATTACAGCAGCATGGCATCATTAACCAGTCTTCAGCAGCTAGATCTGTCAGTACGCTTGTGTCTTTAGGAATAAAACACAACGTCAGTATGGAAATGGATATGCGCTGCTTTTCTAACCGGATCAGTGAGCCACTTGAGGCAAAGTGTTCCACTGTCTGGTTTTAGGAAATATTGCAGTCTTCAAAGCCACAATCCTACTAAAGAATTCAACATTTGTTGGTGGAAACCTTGATTTCACATCAAAGCATAAATTCACAGTTTCTTTTCATCATCGGTTTATTAAAATATTGATTTCCATTTTTTTGAATGGTATGGTACAGCCATAAGTTTATTTTGAGAAATTCCCTCCACTGAAGCTTCTTTGAATCAGATAGAAAACAGGGCAACTTTGATGTCACTGGAAAAAACATTTAAAGCAGAATTATTACAGATCTTCAGTAATTTCCCTGTGAAATTATTTAATATGAGTGGGAAACAGTATTTTAACTAATGTATTGTTATGACTGCTGGTTTTAGTAGTTCTTTATTTTCCCGGTGAGGCAACAGACATTAAAAAAAAAGGCCAGGATTAGTCTGAAAAATATATAAGTGAAGCTGTAAACTGAGGGTGGGGGAGTCAAATCTTTTACACTGGAGGATTTGGATGTTCTGTATGCGTGCTCAGCAAAAACAAACAGGAGGAAGGAGAGTGAACTGCTGATCTAGGAGATCTGCTTCATCCCCTCCATGGCAGAGGTTATGGTAAACTATAAAAATCACAACATGGGATCAAGCTACTGTAATCGTGCTAGCCCAAGCCAAGTGCCATCAATATTTTCCACTAACCTAAGAGACTATCATCAGTCCATTCGTGTACATTGCTGTATTTCTCTTAGAAAGGGCACATCACTGTCCTTGGATGATTAATTATCAACTTCAGAAAAACAACAGATAAAGTCTGGGTTGTCAAAATACTGTTAGATGCACTTGCACTTTAGTGTTACTCAAACACAGAAAGAGTTTTAGTATGCACACTGAAGAGCGGGGTCACCATTAAATTAATCAGTCCCAATACCCAAAGTAGAGCGTGCTAATTGGATCTTAGACGAGCCTCTCCAATGAATAATAGCAGCATCCTTTATTCTGCAGGCCTAGTTAATTCACCAGCATGTCATTAGTTTTTAGGTTGGAATTTTTCACCAGAGCCTTGCAGGGGAGCTCTGGGGAGAGGTGACACAGTCGCACATATTTGCAGCATCTCTACCTGTCAGTCTACAGATTCAGCACCACAGCTACACACCTGTTGTTGCTTCTGACTGACCAGGGCTGCAACATTTATACCACATAGCTTAAGTGTGTAATGCACTTTGCAATCATCACATGCATGTTGTATCTAATTTAAAATAATGGAGTTAAAACTTTCTGCTACAAAGGTTCAGGCTCTTATCAGAAAGGCTTTCTGTTAGTTTAGTTATGTTACTTTTGTTGCTCTTGTTCAAAAACTATATTTTTCTCCCCATAAGGTCACAAACAAAATTGGACAAGCAGCCGGTTGAATCTTATAAAAACTTGCCCACATTTAGACGAACTCCGAGTGTTATGCAGTGTTATTAGCAGAAGGCAGGAAGGAAATTATGATCGGCAAAATCCGTGAGCTGCATCTGAATTTCTCAGAGCTGCTCCTGAAGCCACTGATATCACTCTGGCCCCAGAAATGTTGTGGTGATGTGCCAGTATCAGCGGTTTGTCAGTGGCACCAGTCTTCGTTGGTGGAAATTCTCAGAACAGACTCTAGATCGAAGTGTCAAACATAAGGCTGGGGGTCCAGAATCGGCCCAGCAAAGACTCCAGTCTGGCCCACAATCTGGAAATTGCAAAGGACTGCATAGATTTTTAACTTCTAAGAGTATTTTGCAATTTATACTACACCTGAGTAAAGCAATAGATAAACAATTAAATGAAGCAAAAGTTCTTGTTTTCAATCAACTCAAGAAATATCTACTTGTCTGTAATTTTACACAGTTATCATGTAGAAAAACCGAGATGTACTGTAGAAGTTGCACTTGTTTTCCTCATATTAAGACTTTTCAGTCAAATATAGAAAAGGCAGTTTCACTGGTTTGGCCCAATTTAGAAAGAGTTTCACATCCCTGCTCTAGATTTTGTTCCCAAACACAGAGATGGTAAAGGGGTATTAAAAGACCCAGCTCTGGGAAAGGTGCTATTGTTATGTTGAAATCCAGATTTCTCTGAATTGAAGAGTGAATATATTTTATACATGCAATTCATCATTAAAGAACTCTTCAGTTCTTAAATAACAGTGCATATAAACCAAAAGAAAAAAAAAATAGCTATAGTTTCATAGTTTTAGATTCAATGATTGAAAAAACAAAAAAACATTTTCAATTGTTCTCCACAATGAAAGACTGGAACAATCTCCATGAAAAATGATAGCACTGAATGCTGTCTTTGTTAGGAAATACAGTCTCATTGTGGGAAAAGATTAAAATACTTTCCCCGCTTCCATTCATTTTTGATTTATGAAATAAAACAGAAGAAAATTAGTAAAAAAGAAAACGATTAAAAGGTAAAATATGAGAAAATGACGTACAACGCAGCTTGAAGAGACAAAGAAACAGCAGGGAGGCACAAAGAGAAAGAAGCATGACACACACACGAAGGGAGAGTGAGAGAGCGACAGAGACTGAGGATAGAGAGGGAGGACTTGCACCTCCTCCGTTTTATGTGGCAGTCCGGCTCCCCTGCCTCCTCCACGCTCTCACTCGCGCTGTCTCTCTCGCAGCCACATCTCTTCATTACCCCGTCTGCTTCGCCCCCTCCCCTTTTCCGCCTTCCTCGTTATCCCCCTTGATTTCTCCTCCTCATATTCTTTTCCACTCTTCATATTCGACATGCGCTTCACGTGAAGTCCATCTACCAACTTGCGGAGTCGGTGGATGTCGAGTAAACAAAAGCAGGCAAATGCTCTGACGGGGAATTAAAGAAAAGAAAACACGCACGTTCGCATCTTTCGTTGAGTGCCTTGGCTTGAACGGAGCAACAGTATGGATCTCTCATTCATGGCTGCACAGGTGAGACGCTTCGCCTCCAAACTGCTCAAATATATTTAGCTTGTCTGAACTTTTAAAAAATTATTATGAATGTATTTTGCCCGTGGATTTCAAGGGCGTGGCCGCGGAATAAGTTCATATCACGCTTTGACACTTTCCAATAATTGCAGTGTTTAAACATGGTTCAGTATGGATACCATCGCGTCTTTATGCGCGCATATCTTTGTGTGAGGGCCAGTGGGACGTTGTTGCACTCCAGCATCACTCTAACAGTCTTCAAGTAAATAGTTTAGTTTCCTTCCTTATCCTTTCAAAGTTTATAGCTCGCAGGTTTTCTTTGCTTCATTTGTCACCATTAGGCGTTGAATGTCGTTGAGTTGCTGCACTTCTGTATGCTTTTGTGTCAGAGAATTCAAAATAATGAGAGCTCCAAATGTATATTTTAAGCTTTAACCACATCGTGGATGTGATACTCTTCTCCATTTCGTTTTATTTTTGGCATTTGAATTGCACCAGCTTCACTGGCCCAAATCATTTTTGTAATTCATGCAAATATGGTATTGCACTGCTTTGCATAATACGTGCTGAAGTGATTTTGGCTCCATGGAGGACATGTGCTATTGTGCATCTGTTTAGAACATGGGGTTTGTTTTGATATTCTCCCTGCCCTCCTCCTCCTTCTCGTCTCTCTCTCTCTCAGTGTCTGGCAGCTTGTGGTTTATCTGGTGCCATCTACTTTGCCATTCGTCGCACAACTACTATTAAAGGGTTCATTGCATTATTTTTTTTCTGCCAAGGGCTGTTCTTTGAGGCAAGATGAAGCCAAATGCTCCCAAATCTTTTTAAATCAAGGACCTCTAAATGGAAATGCATTGGAGCATGGACCCATCTGAGAATACGTTGTTGTTCACTATTACCTGATTTAAAGAGAAGCAAAGTAATACATTATGGAGAGCATGGAAAGCTCACAAGTCAAAAGTGCAGATGCTGGAATTAGTTTTGTATTGTTTCTTCTTCATGCCAGGAAGAAAAACAATTTGTCACAAATGAAATTCTTGGCAAAGGTCCCCAAAATGGGTAATAGATACAAGTAATGTTTAGAGATGGATCAACTGATTAATTTATGAGATGAATACCAGACAACTAGCAATAGACAGCAACCTTTTCAATACATAGGGGGAAAAAAGAGTGAAAAAATGTAAATATTTGAGAAATATGCAATCACATGACACTTAATTACAAATTACTAGTACCTGGTTGGACTTTCGGTTGTTTTCAGAATTGCTTCAAACCTTCTTGGTATAGATTCAACAAGGTGCTTGAAACATTCCTGAGAGATTTTCGTCAATATTGACATGATGGCATCACACAGTTGCTGCAGATTTGCTGGCTGAACACCCATAATGTGGATCTGCCGTTCTACCCCATCCCACAGGTGCTTTATTGGATTGAGACCTGATCACCGTGGAAGCCATTTGAGAAAAGTAATCTCTATGTCATGTGCAAGAAACCAGTTCGAGATGATCTGAGCTTTGTGTTTATCCTTCTGGAAACAGCCACGAGAGGATGGGCACACCGTAGTTATAAATGGATGGACACGGTCAGCAAAAATACTCAGCTAGGCTGTAGCATTAAAAAAATGTTTTGTTGGAAAGAAGGAGCCAAAATTAACCAGGAAAAGATCCCCCACGCCATCACAGCACCACCAGGCTGAACTCTTCATACAAAGCAGGATGGATTCATGTCGTTTAAGCCAAATTCTGAGACGACAACACGAATCTTCTGTTGTTTAATTTTGATGAGCCCACGTAAACTACAGACTCTGCTGCTGCTCCATCTTCTTTAAGATTCAGTATTTTATGCATTCAGAGATGCTCGTTCTATACTTTGGCTGTAATGGGTGGTTATTTGAGTTATTGTTGCCTTCCTATCAGCTTGAAGCAGTCTGGCCATTCTCCTCTGTCCTTTGGAATCAACAAAGCACAGAGAACTGCTGCTCACAGGATATTTTCTCTTTTTCAGACCATTTTCTGTAACTCCTAGAGATGACTGAGTGTGAAGTTCCCACTAGATCAGCATTTGTGAAATACTCATACTACCGATGTCTGGCACCAACAACCACACCAAGTTAAATCACCCTCCTTCCCCATCCTTTTCTTGGTTTGAACTTCCACACGTCATTTAACCATGGCTACATACACTGAGCTGCTGCCATATGATTGGCTGATTAGATACTTGCTTTAATGAGCATAACATGAATGGGTTTATCTAAGTAAGTGAGCAGTGAGTGTATATTGTCCTTTGTCCTATTGTCTGTTAGTAATATATTATGGACAAAGAAAACATGTTTTTAAAGAGTAAAGGACAAAAGTGTGAAATACTTACACTGTAGGCAAAGCAATGAATCCAACAAAAGACTAACAGAATGTTAATATGTTTTATTATATGTATTTATGCTAGCGACCTAAACTCAGTTAGCAAAACAGCTTTTACAGCGCACCAGTAGATAATGCTCCAAGGATGTTTGGTAAGTAGATAAAACTTGTTTTTCAACATTTGCTTGATCGCACATCTGCCATATGTGTCTGTAACACCTTCAGTTCAATTAACATGTGAACACCAGCTTCAAATGGCCGATAAAGGAACTGCAGTTTTCGGCACTTGTGTTTATTTCATTTTGAATGAATAAATTGAATGAAATGGTGAAAAATCGTTTTATAGTCGATGCTTAGTAGTTAAGACAGCTGTGTATTACTAGCCCCACACCAGACTATTCCCCTTTAACTAATTTCAGCCCTAAAACAACAGTAAACAGATGACAAATGCTTTAAAGGGAATTTTGTATTTGGTACTAGAAAGGTGGCTTACTACTCGCTCTTGACTCTTTACCTCACACTTGCCATTTTTGAAGTTCACCTTTTTCAACATTCACGTACCTTCCCCCCAAAGAATGCAGCTCTCTCAGATCGGTAATGGCTAATTTAACTGAAGTGAAATTCATTCCTGTGCCCTGAGTCACTCTGTAATGGTGACTGTGAATGAAGTCAGGCAAATGTCCCTGGAGTTTTCAAGACTGACTTCACAATGGATGATTTTTTGCCCATCCATCTCAGTGTAGCTCTGCTGCCTGCAAATCACTGGACCTTCACCACCACTTTGTCTCTAAAAGATGACGGATGCTGCTAAAGCTGTTCTGGCCTAAAGATTGGAAATTATTTTAAAGAACTTTAACTCAGATGAGCAGATTTCTGATTTTCTCTATGTAGAAAATTGGTGGGTTTGAAGATGCACTGGTCATTATTGTTGTAGTATTTGAAAAGAGGAAATTGACCATAGAAACTGAGTAGCTTGCTTGTCATTCAGAAGAACCAATAACATGCACGGTGTGTACCATTACACAGAAACTGGTAGCATTACTGGCTATTGTTTTTCAGCATTTCTCACTCCTGTTTTTGTTAAAATGGTTTTGTATGTTATACGAGAAACATTGCTAAATAGCTCTTGACAGAACAATGTGTGCACTCTTGCGTTTGGTGAATGATTTGCATTTGGCAGCAATGCTTCGCTGGTTTGAAATGGAAAAAGGGTATACAGCATTAGCTTTAAAGTGGTGGCATTCTCGAGCATTGTGAAACATGGATTAATAGGCAACAATCACAGCAAAGCTTTTGAATGCTAAGCTGAGTGCGATTCGGCAGTTTGCGTTTTATCTATTCAATTAGACTGAACTGAGAAATGTTTCACACAGCTTCCCTTAGATCCCTGTGGATATCAAGATTAATTTTTGACATCCACATACTTATGAATTTCTTTTTTTCCCCAATACTGCTACTTTGATGTTAATTATATTGTGTATATCTTAGCATCTTGTTGAGGCTGTCACTGTTAGGTTATTTAACTGGCAGATGTTAAGGCATAAGAAAATGAATCATTGTGTTAGTAACTAATGTTGAGGTCAGCCCGAGACAAGCTTCGCAGACATCCTGGGCATTCTGCCAGTCTCAAACGTGCTTCAGCTGACAGATCTGCCACACAGGGCAGCAAAACCCTTAAGGGTCTGCCTATCCAGTGGAGGGTGTCCCAGTGGCCTTTGCCTTTTACTGACTTTTTAGCTCTTCATACATGCACTATAACCACCTCTGTCATATAGGGTTATATGTAATCCCCTGTCATTTCTATTTCTTTCGCTTTAAAATATTTTCATTACCTGGCCAAATTCATACCTAAGGATGGGCTGATTTGTCTCTTCATGGCAAGCCATCATGATTTCTCGTGAAATTATAGCCCCAAGTCATTCTACCTGACAGGCTTTGTACATTTCTTCTTGTGTTAAAGAGTACAGATGAGAGTGACAGGATGATGAAGTAAAGCGTTGTTGACAGCAGCAACAAGCAGACCTATGTATATAGACACAAAACCACTTTAGTTTACTTGCCAGATGACATAAAAAGCAAGTGTTTAAAGCTGATAATTTAGAATTAGAAAGACATGCTGGAGATATAGCAAGACATGTTTGCGCACCACCACCCCTGGATATTGAGCCAGATATAGAAATTCAAGTTGACTTATTCGCAAACTAGATTATTTTTCACTAAACACAATTTTGGAAATAGACACGAAGTGTAAATCTAGGCCATTTTTTCTCTTTTCTTTTTTTTTTAAACCCAACTTCATAAAAAAATCGAGTTACATAATGATATTATCTCACTGTGAATTCTCCACGAACTGACTGCCCCTATTAAAAATCTCCTGCTTTCTATAGTCGTGGCTAATTTGAAGAGTGTAATAATGTCACGGCAGCCTTTTCATCTTGAAGAATTTATTTCCCCTCCGGTCCTCTTTTGTCTGCTTTTTCAGCAATTGCTTTTACATGAAAGCTGTAGTCCTGAGATAGTGAAAACTTGCAACAGACCCAGATTTTCATGTGTCTTCATATTTAGAGGCACACAGGTTGAATGCAAACAGTCAGCTTAAACAAATTACATAGAGCTGTTTGCATGGGGGGGGGACAATCAGTGCTT